ACTTACTTTGATGTTAGCAGCATATGCTGCCCGAGCTCTTTCCATATGCAGGACCCCAGGAAGTATTTTTTGACTAGGTGAAGTAGTCAATGCATAAGTTCTTTTTCAGAAAGGACCTTAAAATTCATTTTAACCAAAATTAGCAGGAATGCCCACCTCATAATTAAGTCCAACTATCTAACAGAGATGATGAGTTTATAAAGAGAAATTAACAGTACTCTCTTTAATGGTTTTCTTTTACCCCTGTAATCTTTTTAACTCCGTGTACCATTAAACAACATGATGTTACCGAAAATACTTGGGATAGAATGGAGCCATAAACACAACAGATGAAAACATGGTGGATGATTTCAAAGAGAAAAGCAACGGATGTAAATTTTAGGACAGAGACCATTTGAAGAAAGGTTTTTCTATCTTCAGAAAACCAAGCTGGTCTATTACCTTTATGTAATCTCTGTCCAAGGCGCCCTGGTGGTGCTCTGGGATTAAGTGCTGGGCTGCAAGGTCAGCCAGAGGTTCAGAGTCAGCCACTCTTGGAGAGAAAGAGGAGGCTGTCTGCTCTCATGCAGATTGGCAGTTTCAGACTCTGTATGGAGGCTGGCTTTGAGTAAGGATGGGCTCAGTAGCAGTGAGTTTTGGTTTCTCTGTCTGCTAGAGACATGCTTCACTCATAATCCATTGGGTCATTTTCTAATTGTATATATGTGTGTGGTCCCGAAAATTTTGTGTGTGTTTCCAGAAGCGAAGGCATCTCTCCATTTATTATTTCCCACTAATGATGTTAAAGGCCCCCAAGCGCAGACTGTGACACCACTGGCTGGGTGCATTAAGATGAGGGTGTATTTAGATATCTCTGGATCAGGCTTTGTCCAGGGTATGTATGGTGGGTGCTGCAAGGCCAGGCTGCCCATGTGGTTCAGGCTACTGGAATAGTATATGGGGTTCACTCTGTTGCTCCCCACCCACCACCCACGTCTGCTGCTGCTCTGATGGATAACCATAAGTGGGCCTCCCATACAGTGTAAATAAGGTATTCGCATAGCACCCTAGAACACATCATAGACATTGAACAAAATACACCTATATTTGGATTCCTACCCTAGTTAATGCAGGACAACATATGAAGTTGAAAACAATTTGTATTTACTGAGTCAAAATAAGACCAACTCATCATTTTGTCATGTGTCTGTTTCTCGGAGCTGCCGTAGCAAAGCACCACAAAAGAAGTGACTGTAAAGAACAGAAATTTATTCTGTCACAGTTCTGGGGTCTAGAACTCCAAATCAGGGTCTCAGTCATGAAAGAAAACTATTTTCTTCTTTTTTTTAATATGGATATGGTTCTTTTTTTTAAAATCATTTTATTAGGGGCTCATACAACTCTTATCACAATCCATACACACATCAATTGTGTAAAGCGCATTTGTACATTCATTGCCCTCATCATTCTGAAAACATTTCCTCTCCACTTAAACCCCCGGCATTAGGTCCTCATTTTTCCCCTCCCTCCCCGCTCCCCCCTCCCTCATGAGCCCTTTATAATTTATAAATTGTTATTTTGTCCTATCTTGCCCTGTCCGACATCTCCCTTTACCCACTTTTCTGTTGTCCATCCCCCAGCGAGGAGGTCACATATAGTTCCTTGTGATCGGTTCCCTCTTTCCTACCCACTCTCCCTCTACCCTCCCTGGAAAACTATTTTCTTCTTCTCTCTAGTTCCTGATGGCTGCTAGAACATTACTTACCCTTGGGACAGCTGCATTCAGTCATAGAGGGTCCCGATGAGTCAGAATTGACTTGGCAGCAATAGGTTGCTGGGGTTTTTTTCTTACTTACAGATACAACTGACTCAGTCATCTGTGACTTCTGTCTTCCTGTGTGTATGCCTCTATTTCTGGAGCTTTCCTTCTGTTTTATATGCTACCCCTCAGAAGGAATTCAGAGTAGTGCCCAGCAGATTCAGTTATGACTTTATTCATTTCATCGATAATACCTGAAATTGAAAAGTCTATCACTAGCATAAGGTTTAGGATGTCAACGTCACTTTGGGGAGCCTAGCACTGTGTGATTAGGACCATCCCAACACAAAAAGGAAAAGGCACAATAAAAGGGAAACAAACCCAAACCCCCTGCCATCGAGTCATTTCCACCTCATAGAACTCAGTATAGGTTATGTTTCTGAGACTAAATCTCTAAAAGCAGACAACTTCATCTTTCTCCCACTAAATGGTTGGTGGGTTTGAACCTCCAACCTTGCAATTTGCAACCTAACACTTAGTCCACAGTGCCGCCAAGGGCTCCTTGGAATGCATAGCATATTAGAAATCTCAAATTAGAAGATTGAGGGGTTAAGCTACCCTAGTCACAAACGCAACAGTAAGACCAACCTCTCAGAGAAAAACAGCCAATAATTTCAAAAATATAAACATACTTACTCTAGAGCAGTGGTTCTCAACCTGTGGGTTGCAACCCCTTTGAGGGTCGAACAACCCTTTCGCAGGGGTCGCCCGATTCATAACAGTAGCAAAATTACAGTGATGAAGTAGCAACAAAAGAAATTTTATGGTTAGGGATCACTACAACATGAGGAACTGTATTAAAGGGTCACGGCATTAGAAAGTTGAGAACTACTGCTATAGAGGCAAAAAAAAATCCTATAAATCTGGGGAAGATTATTAATGGTCATAGTGAATATCCCTATTGTTGAGAAAAGATTATGTCATTATGAAGACAAAATTTCCATTAAATGCAAAATATTCTCACTTGAGCACTAGATTCCTCCCCTTTGTGAAAGAATATCGTGCCCTATATCTACCACAGGTACGATTTGTTTATCAAATTAACAGAAATGTGCATTTACCAACAAGCTGCTTATGTTACAAATAGCGGGTTCTTTATTTTGTATCATTTTCGATGTTTAATGATTGTACCATTCCCAACTGACTGTTCCTACCACTTGGATGTGTATTTTCACATTGCTCTTTTCAAAGTGTCGGTGTCTTCCACTCAGTCCTCCCTAGCCAGGGAAGGGCCTCTGCCGTGAGTGTGGTCTTTGCCTATATTACCAATAGTTTAAAGGGGTCTGTGCACCACAAACCCAACACACGAGGCTGAGACCTCATGCTTGCATCTAACCACTCTTAATTAAAGAATCTTCATTCAGAAGTATGTATTCCTAGAGCTTATAGAAGACTGTAAGGAACCCTGATGGCATCATGCTTAAGCGCTTAGCTGCTGAGAAGTTGGTATGAACCCACAAGTTGATTGGTATCCACCAGCTGTTCTGTGATGGATTACACCCTTAGAAACTCTTGGGGCAGGTGTCCTGGGCCATGGAGGGTCACTGTGAGTCAGAATTGACAGCAGTGGTTTGTTTGGTAATAGAAAGGTGAGGCTCATTTTCACAGATGGTATAGTAGGTGGGATTCTAAAAATGGCTCCTCTTGCCCTCAAAGTTCTTGTTCCTTGTTTGTCCAAACAGGAGCACATGTCTAGGAGCTACTATGAAGGGTCTTTGATGATATAATTCAGGTAATTGGTCTTAAAGTGAAGAAGCTCCCAAGGCAGCGTGCCTTACACATTGGGCCCCAAACCACAATATCAGCAGTTTGAACCCCGCAGCCGCTCGGTCCTAGAGAAAAAGATGGGGCTTTTTCCTCCCATAATATTTTAGCCTTAGAAACCCACAGGGACACTTCTCCTCTGCCAAATAGCATTCATGTCCGTTGAAATGTGCTTGTTGCTAGTGAGAAAAAGCTTTGTGACTTGACATGGGAACTGAGAATGACTATTGGCTGGAAGTCAGCAAGGAACTCGGAGCCTCGGTGCTATAATCACAGGAAACTGACTTCTACCAACGATCTCTATGCTCCTGCTCCAGAAAGACCAAACGAGCTGACACCTTCATTTCAGTGCTATTTCACCTGAAGCAACTTACCCAGCTCACTCTTCATGGAGTTCTAACCTACGCGGTGTTTTAAAGCAGTTGTTTTAGACTGTGTAATTATAAATCCTGTAAGAATTTGTTTTAAACATTTTATAGGTAGTTGGGTGAAAGCAAAAATCCCATAAGATTTTTTTAAAGTAAGTGTGAGAGACTCAAGATAACATCTATAATGTTAATACAATTTTCTCTGAAAAAAAGTTTGAGTTAAAATGAGAAACTGGGTGATTCCATTTTATCTTAATCATAGGTATTTAGATTATTTTGTTTGGAGAGAATTTCTAAATTCTCACAGACCAAAAAAGATACAAGTAGTTCATAAAAACAAGTGAAATTTTGAAATGTGAAAAGTATTTCAAGTGAGGAAAATTAAATGTCCAAAGGATACAATGGAACCACACAGATATGGGTGATGTGAACAGTAAATACCTCCCAAGAGTTACCACATTTGCGTTAGAAGTGAGCCGCAAATGTAGCACACCACTGCAATAGAGTGGGTGTGCTCCATTCCCCCCAAGTGATTTCCTTTTTACAGCCCTTACCTATAGTTAGACACCATACAGACTCGTGGATAAGCTGAGTTTTTCAGCACATTTTAATGCAGTAAAATTTAATGTGGTAAAATTAGATGCCTGGGCTGATAAACTGGTCTGCTTATGCTCGAGTATATACAGTGTATGTAACTGTAAAAGGTAGCAGTACTTTTGTTGCGGTTACTGCTGCTAGTCATCATTTTATTGGGGGCAGCTATACTTTTGAACTATTTTTTTTTAAATCTGCTTTTACTTTTTTAAATGTTGTTTATTAGCATGCAGTTTATTAGCTTTTTAAAATGAGTTAATAGCTATTTTTAAACTTTACTTTTTTATTTCTAAGGTGAAAACTATTGATAAACATAGCCCATGTAAATAAAAGTTCTTTGGGACGCTCACTAGATTTTAGGTCTGTGGGGCCCTGGGACCCAAAAGTTATGAAATCTGTTTGGTCTCCTATTTGCAAATATAGAAAATTTTCCTTACACTTCAGGTTTTTCTTTGATGAAATGAAATGTATTTCAGGTTGCTACAAGCCTCAGGAAGGATCAGGTTACTTGATGTTGGCAGCTGCTTTAACCCATTTCTGAAGTTTGAAGAATTTCTAACTGTTGGCATAGACATTGTACCTGCTGTAGAGGTAAGTATGCAGAGAACTTTTGGGGTTTTCTCAGCCTTGTATATTTTATGTGTCTATTTACAAAGAAAAAGTACATTCCTAAAATGACAACTATGTATCTTGTGTATAAGTATAAAAGGCATAATTTCCATGCAAAAACTAAGTTTATCTGCTTGAAATTGTTTGAGTGGTTAACCAATACTAATATGACCATTATTGTATTTGTTTTTATTTTCTTTCTTATTTTGTTCCATAATCTGCAATGGTAATACAGTAGAATTATTACAGTCAGTGAACTTTAGTAGATTGCAAAGATTTCCAGATATTTATAGAATTTGGATTTTTTTGTTTGACTTGGTTTTGTTCCTTGGTTGGTCCCTTTCTGAAATATATTGTGATGCAGCTCTATTGTGGGGTGCCAGAAAGAACCAAGGGCTTTTGAAATCAGCCCAAACTTTATTAAATCTCAACCACTTGTACTTGAATAGATAAATCTACCTAACATCACATAGTCTGTTTCCCCGACCTTTAAAGAGTTGTAAGAGTAAAACAGCCAGCTAATTTCTCTTGGCGTGCTATAAGTCCTCAAGAAATGAAAAGTTATTACTTCCTTTGAGAACATGAATGAGTTCATTTTGTGATGGTTGTAGTTTAAACAACTGAAATAGTAGCACATCCTTGTCAGCTCAAACATTCTTATATTCATTCACATGATTCTCAAGTACCAAAAAGAAAGTTGTAATTAAATTCCTTTAAAACCAGTAGTAAAGAGAAAAAATTTTAAACTGCTGCATACATTGAAAGGCACATTGAAGTATGGGAATAACAAAGTCTGTTAACATGTAATTCCATACCCAGTCAGAATATATTTCAAAAATAAAAGCAAAATAGACTTTTTTCAGACATACAAAAACTGAAAGAATTCACCATCAGCAGACTTGCATTACAAGAAATGTCAAAGAAGATAGGCCTTCAGCCTAGTGAAAATATGGTGTACAAAAATGAACAAACAGTACTAGAAGTAATACTTTATATATAAAAACACAAGTGTTTCTTATTACTTAAATCTCCTTTGATGATAATTAAACATAATATATAGTGAGTTTATAATATGTCTAAGATAAAATGGATTATCATAACACAGAAGGTTAGGAGAAATGGAAATATATTAAGGTTCTTATGCCACACAAAAAGTACTGTATTATCACTTGAAGAAAAATCTGGATGAACCACAAAAAACTGTTAACCCCAAAACAAAATAGCAAACGAAAAGCTATGACTAACAGCAGAAACATTGATATAAAAAAGAATCATAAAACATTTACTCCAAAAGGTGGCAGAAATAAGAGAATAAACCAAAAAAAGCGACCAAATAAGTAGAAAGCAAACAGCAAGATTACAGATTTAAACCTTAAACATATCAATAATTGCAACAAATAGAACTTGCCTAAATGTCTCAGTTAAAAGAGATGATCAGATTGCGTTAAAAAGCAAGACCCAGTTATATACTTTAATTTTTAAAACTACAAAGATTAAAAGCAAAAGAATGGAGAACGGTCAGCTGGTTTAGCTGTACTGAAATCAAAGAGGACTCTGCTTGAGGAGGCAGCCCTTCCCAGTTGTATTTTGAGTTTCTTCCCACCTGAGGGACTCTTGTGGCACTCCATCAGAAAATCCCATTCCGATTCATCAGGTTTGCACTGGCCTTAGATGTAGATCAGTGGATCCTTCTTCCAGTCTCTCTTAATCTGGAAGTTCCACTGTAACCTGGTCACCACGGGTGACCCTTGTGGTATTTGAAATATCAATAACATCGCTTTGCAGTACACAGCAATGTGCAAGCCACCACGATATGACAGACAAACTGACAGACAAATGCTGGTGCTGTATAATAAGGTGGCTAATTTTAATTTAATTTTAAAAGTGCTGCCTTATTTAGGATCATTTCCATAGTATTTCAGTATTCATCAGATTTAAATTACTAAAACAAATTCCACACCAGGAAAAAAAAATTGAAAACAGAAGCTTAAAAAAATCCTGTTGCCATTGATTCCATTTTGAACTGTTCATTAGAGTTTCTGAGCCTACCCCTACAGGCAGCCAGCCTCATCTTTATTCTTTGGAGCGGCTGGTATGAATGACACCCTTAGTGTTAGCAGATAATGCTTCAACTCACTGAGACACCCTGCTCTGTGCATCAGCTCCGGCTACACTCATTCCTTTAGGTACAGCTGTTCCTGTGGACATTTAACTGCATTAATTTAATATAGTTGTTGTAAACCAGGATATAAACGTTTTATAACATGAAAGTGGTAACTAAAATTACTTTATAAATAAGATTATTAAGGTTAATGGCTTAAAAGTCTTTTCATAGCCTTGAAAAGTTGAGTCATCATTCTGTTTGTACCAATTTATAGTACTTCCTTCAGTATCCTTTTTGATTTTGATTCATCTTTAGTTCATGGTAGTATTGCTTTCAAAGTGAGTTTTATACTAACAGTTTGTGGGAGGATGATGGTGGAATTGGAATGTTGAAGTGAGTGTAGCTATGGCGAACTTTAGAAATAAATGGACCATTTCTGTAGACTTAGCCAAATTAAATTTAAGATAAACTTTTGATTTTTTTAAATTATGTATACTTTAAAAATATTTCTACTTTGTTGTTGGGCAGAAATACATACTTTTCAACGGTGACTAAACATCCTTTGATGTGAATTGCTCTTTAGGCGTATCCTGATGGCACATAGGTGCTGCTCGCAGCTATGAATCTAAAGGGGGCCGGTTCTATTTTGTTGCACCTGGGGGTTATCATGAGTCTAATCAACTCAGCTTCAGCTAGCTTGGTTGTTGTGTTGTTTTTATCTTGTTCATTATTCCCTGAGATTTTTGTAAGTGAATGTTTTGGTTGAATAAGTCTGTACAAGCTTAATAATTTACAAGAAAAAGTACTTAGTGAAAACTGGAAGGAGATAGACATGCTGAGAAGATAGTGTGTTGTTAAATATAATGAAAAGGTACAGGTAATTTTGAAGTTCTTAATTTGCCCTGTTTTTCCCTTTCTGCAGAGTGTGTATAAATGTGACTTCCTGAACTTACAGCTTCAGCAACCACTGCAGCTTGCCCAGGATGCTGTAGACGCCTTTTTAAAGCAGCTGAAAAACCCTATTGATTCTCTTCCTGGAGAGCTTTTCCATGTTGTCGTTTTCTCTCTCCTTCTTTCTTATTTCCCTTCACCTTACCAGCGATGGATATGCTGCAAAAAAGCTCATGAACTGTTAGTGTTGAATGGTTTATTGCTTATCATCACACCTGATTCCTCCCATCAGAACCGCCATGCTATGATGATGAAAAGCTGGAAGATTGCTATAGAGTCTCTGGGCTTTAAACGTTTCAAGTATTCAAAATTTTCACATATGCACCTGATGGCATTTAGAAAAACCTCCCTAAAAACCACAAATGACTTGGTTAGTAGGAACTACCCAGGAATGTTATATATTCCTCAAGATTTCAACAGTATAGAAGATGAGGAGTATTCTAACCCTTCCTGCTATGTCCGATCAGATATGGAAGATGAACAGCTAGCATACGGTTTTACAGAGCTCCCTGATGCTCCATATGACTCAGATTCTGGAGAAAGCCAAGCCAGCTCAATTCCTTTTTATGAGCTAGAGGATCCCATATTACTTTTAAGTTAATATACAAGCAAAGACGATTTAAGTCCAAATTCCTTAAACTAATTGCTTACACTAATTGGAAATATTATTATGAGCTCATAAAATCTGGTTTGCATAGAAAAATGCAAAGGTTTACAGAGTTTGCTATTTTTTTCTACTTCTCAATTTAAAATTTATTCTTCTATAGAAAGCCTACAATTTCATCCATTGACTCCTGTCATAACAAAAACCACTGAAACATTAGTATTATCACTAAGATATCCTAGAAAGGTACTTCTTTCTTTCCGTTCTGTTGTGGGAAGTGAGGCTTCATTTACTCCGTATTTTTCTTGTCTTCAGCTTCTTCATGTTGACATTAAGCTGTTGCAGTGGGAAACTGCCGATGCGTAGAAAGCTGTAGGTTGCACTTTGCTGACTCAGGAGTCGAATGTGACCCGGAGATTGCTGTGGCTTGGGGATGCACTTGTCCCTTTGTTTTCATTTTCCTAACTACATTGTTGTCAGTAGCAAAAAAGCCATCTTCTGTCTAGTTTTGTCTGATGATCCAGTAGTTCCTGAACATTTTTAAGTTGGAAGTAATTCAGTTTACTCTTCTTTCGTCTATTACAAGCTCATTTGACAGCAGCAAATCCTGGGAAAGAGGTTCCCCCCAAATTATGTATTCCAGTTCCATTCACACAATACAGTAAACACCATTGCCAAAGTAGTATTTTGGACCTTGGTGATTAGTATTTTTACCTGTGAAAGTTTACTTTTACCATTTTCTAATTTAGGCTTCATGGACAAAATTTTATATTTCAACAAGGAATGATGTAGTATCCAGTACTGACCTTAAACACCTTGTTGAAAGGGTTTGCACTTGTGAGAGAGCTTTGTTCTAACTAGACCAAATCTGATAAAGGTCTTTACCTTTCTGCTAAGGAGGTGCTAAATTACAAGTCTGGAATTATATGGCAAAGTCGAAAATTAACCCTCTGCAAGTAATCTAATAAAATGGTTTTGACCTTTGATATTCTAATCCCCATCTACATCCTTGCAGAAAGTTTTCTTTGAATAAATAAACCATTAGTTGATGACCATTAGTTGGCATTGAAAAATGTCTTTCAGTGTTTCTGAATCAGAAGCAAATGACTAAGGAAAATTATTTGTCCAATCAAGACAACATTGGTTCTAGACCACTAAGAACAGTTAGTCTACATTGTCTTGTCAGCCAGCAATTGTCATGTAAACGATCATTTTTAAGAGTGCCACTGTGTGGATTTTTTTTCAAGTGGTTATTACATTAAAATTACCTCATAGTGAGGTTTTTGCACTGAAATATCACCGTTTCAGATTTCATGGTGTGGGTGTGCGGGTGTGCGCGTGTGTGTTTAAAGGAAACTTGCATTTTCAGTAGTTGATACTAAATTTCATAAACTGCACTTCTTTACTCTGATAAAACTGATGTCTTTGTGCTTATTGTGAAATGCTGTAGTTAACTTAGAGTGTCAAACTTTATTTAGAGATTTGAAATTTATCCTTTTTTAAGACATAAACAGTTAAGCGTGTGTACCCAATATTTCAGAATACATTGCACATGCTAAACGAATGAGAGGAACAAGATTGTAATTAACCCAAAAAAGTGAACTGACTAAATGCAATAAATTGCGATTCAAATATGCCAGAAGTAACTTGAAATTTATCATTTACTTTTGATAGAAATTTACCATTTACTTTCAATAGCGTAAGATTTCCTTAATAATCATGATTGACTTTCATTCAGTTACATGATGGTCATGCTTTATAGCTCCCCCAAAAGAAAAAAAAAAATACTGTGTTGAGGATAGCACAGGATTCTGTTTTGATAACACCTTATGAGTTTCATGCTATTTTGTTTTCTTTGATTTGACTAAATGTAACATTAAAAGCAAAGAAAGAAGTATATCAAATGGAAGTGCTTTGAAAATAAATGAAAACTGTTTTTGTGAGGAGCTAGTGTAAGTACGACCCTGGAGTGAGTTAGCCTTTGTGTTACAGCTAAAATGTTGGTGCTATAAATTCCTCTGATTGTTTACAGATGTTGATTCTGCTTATGCCCCAAAGTGTGCATGATGTATTTTAAGTAGTACTTTGATGAAAATGCTCTTTATAGAACCTACTACCACTTAGTATAAATTTGTTTGGATTTATGAGTATTATTTGTTACTGTAAATTCAGTTTATTCAAATTAGGTTGGCACAGGATTTAAATCAATACATATTCCAGCAAAGCCAGTTCTGTGTATAAGTGTTAAAATCTAAGCAGTCATGTGGCTTGGTGCCAGGCTAGCTATGGAATGACAGAAAATGTGCATAGGACCTCCTAATCCTATGTAGGTACTCTCAAGAATGATTTCACTTGGATATAAGTAAGTGAAGGGGCCTCCTGTTATACAACAGAATTCTCCAAAATAGTTTGGCATTTTCAAAAACAAATGATGGTCATTTGGTTGTCTCCTTCAGAATCATGGCTAGATCAAGTGGTTCACACCATAGTTGCCAAGTTGGGGGAAGTGGCATAACAGAAAGTGTATGTTTGTGTTTGTATTTTTTCACATTTTGTGAACAAAGCACATTTATTAAAAATTTTAAATTTTCTAATACTCTTTGTTTATTGTAATCAAAGATATTGTGGTCTTTTGGTTGAAATGTTCCACTGGGGTTTCAGAAATGGCAAACAATTAGAACTTGATGGACTTTAGAATTTCCCAACTGAGTTTCATCTAGTCCTGTTCCTTAATTTCATAAATGTATTCACTGAGGCCCAGACAGGTCAGGTGACTTCCCTGTTGCCCTGCTTGCCGCATCAAGCTTTTGTGGCCAAACCAGGCCCAGAGCATGAACTCTGATTTATCATATGTCAACTGATTCAATTTGACTGCCCAAAACAAATTATAAACATATTGTGAATAAGAGGGAGCTATTGTTCATCCCTCTTGAAAAAAAATAAAGCTAAATATGATGCCACCCTATGCTCCCACCCCCACCCCACCCCAAAAAAGAGAGAGAATCAAGTTCCATTTGCTCATTGTTTTATGAGCAAGAGTAGTGCTGCAATGGAATACAAACATGTCTTTGACCAGCAGTCTTTCTTTAAGCTCTTCTAACATAGTATTTCTATTTCAATTAGTTTGCAGAGGATAAAGTTAGCGGGAGAGGTTGCTGGAAATCATTGTTTCCAAGATGCCTTAAACCTTTTCACTAGGAGATAAAATTTTCCGCCAAGTCAACATAGATGAAACATTTCTTGGAAATAAGGTCACTGGGTGGTTTATGGAAAAGAGGAGAGATAGGAGTCTCTGGATCGCTGCTAATAAGAAGGCTTTATCTGGAGACACTTCCAGAAAGTCAGCCTTTGTTCTACTAGATGGCTACTGATTGAGGCCAGATCCCTGAGCCTGCCTGGAAGAATAAAGATTCTTGAAACAAAGTGGACCTACAAAGGAGCTTTATGTTCTCCAACCCCACTGAAACATTAGCACAGATTAAAGTATCAGAGTGCAGGGAACCATTGAAACAGTAGGGTCCTGGGAGTTGAAAGTAAAAAGATACATTTTCATTGAGGAGAACGGATGGTCTGATGGAGGTATCAAAGGGAGGAACCCTGTTGGCCAGCAGACCAGGGCCAAATAGCAGGCGAGAAAGAATGGGAATTAGGATGTCACAAGCCATCTCTTTGCAACCATTTGGATACATACCAAACTGCTACTATCAAATGTATACCTCAAAAGTTCAAACGAGGGTTTTCTAATAAAATGAAAAGATGCGTTTCTACTAAACTTTCTCAAGTGTGAAGATGCTTCTTCACATGTTAAACAATTGGATTAGAGGTAATTCAGGCATTATCAATACAGGGGGATAGTAATACTTTTCATTAACTCACAAAAGGTGACGCATGAACTTAGAAGGGAGCAAGCACAGGTTTTGTATAACAAATTGCTTTATATTATTTAGGCCTTAAAATTACAGTGTATTAGATACTACCAGAAATAGATGTCTGCTCTTAAGGAGTTGACTTACAGCTTACAGGGAAAAGACTAGCTTTAATAAAAGGGACAAAATGACCACATTGCACCCCCAATAAAATGATCTTTTGAAAAAAAAAGTCTGCGTTGAAGAATACAGTACTGCCCTGAGCCTGTGGCAGTACCAGTCAATCACATCCTGTTCACTTGATCTTTTTGGTCCACTGTTCTTACCCAGTCTTAAGTGCAATTTCCTTAAAGAAAGATATCCTTCACTGAAGGATTCCTCCCCCGCCATTCTACCACAACCCATCATCCTCCCTGTGAATGTCCCAGAGAGAAAGAAAAGAGAGAGAAAAAGCCTGCTCACCTTTCTATTAACTTGTCACTGACCTCAAATTTCATTCCTTTTTTTGCCTTTTTTTAAACCGGTTCCGATTTTGGCCTAAACATTACCTCTTCAAAGGATCCTTCCTAGTCCACACAAGTTAGTCCCTTCACATCGCCTTAATTAAAATTTCTCCCCACCAGTGTTGACTGCCGTGTGCCCACGCGTCCGTGCAGTCTGACAGTCACCCTGGAGGACAGTTGAACTGCCTGTAGGGTGTCCTGGGCGACAGACTGCAGGAACCACTTTCCAGGTCTTCCCCAGAATAACTGGAGGGTTTAAAACAACTGACAACATGTTAGGGGAATTTAATTAGGCAGCCTTATATTTTTGTCTCTCCTCCTTATTTTTTCCCCCCCGTGAATGACCAGAACAGTGTATCATACCCAGGTCAGTCTATCTGGCGGGTTCCCTGCAAAACTACAAAGCAAACCTCGGCACAGGGCAGTTTTCACTTTAAAGTATAAAAGAGAGGCAGGTGACTCCTTAGCATGTTTACTTTATATCTCATAAGCATAAAGGAGGTTACAGAAATCAAAGGATGCCATTTGGTCTAAATTGGGGAATCACAGTTTGCAGAGTAGGTATGAATTTGAGATAACTGGAAGAAGCTTGCAAAGGCTTCTGGGAAATTACATTATCTTTTAATTCCATTTTTCTGGTAGTATTGCATTTAATGGGAAGAAATCACTTGAAATACAGTGTAGTTTCCAAAGTACTGACCTCTCCAGGCCTATCAAAGCTTACCTGCTGTTGCTTCTGCCACCTTTCAAGCGTCTCAAGTGCAGCCTCATCCAGGGGGAGCACTGCCCTGCAGCCACATTGAAGCGATGTATGGCACAACCGAGGCCATGTCTTGAAAACAGATTGGGAACTTAGAATCAATCCCCTTTGGTATGATAGCAAGCCTACAAGATTACAAAAGGAACAACAGAAAAGAAACACATTTCACTCTGAATAAAGTGCTTTTAATAATTATAACTTGCCATTATCGTTCCTGAGCAACAGCTATGTGTCAGATGTAATGCTACACCCTCTACCAGCATTACCTCGCTTGTCGCCTTTCAACAAGCTATTCGCAGTGATTACCACTGTTACACTGGTGAAGCAGGGAATCTTAGGCAATGCAACTGGCTATAAAGTTACAGGGTGAGAAAAGTCGCTCAGCTAAGATCTGAATGCAAGCCTGCCTCACGGGTAGGAGTCCTGAAGACACAGTGGGTTCCCCTGATGGCTGCTAAACCCTCCACAGCTCGAGGGAGCACTTCTGCTCTTTGACTCACTATGAGTCAAAATTGACTCAATGGGTTTGGGTTTGAGGGGGGGTTATCCGACTGGTACTAAGATGCTGATCTGCAAAATGAACCAAGGGTAAAATTGAAAGACCCCTTAAGAGGTTAAATAAAACCCACTGCCACAGAGCCTATTGTAATTCACAGAGACCCTATATAAATAGAATTTCCAGGATGGTAAAGCTTTGCAGGAACTGACGTCTTTCTCCTGGTGGATTTACATCACCAAGCTTACTGGACAGCACCAGCATGGCTCCTCAAGAGGTTAAAAAAGTATATGTAAAAATGGTAATGATTGACATCAACTAAAACTTAACAGCAGGCTCTGTTCTAAATACTTCACATGCATTAACTCATAAATCTCACAATAATCTAAGGAATGAGTAGTAGTAATATTTTCATTTTACAGATGAGAAAACAAAGCTAGAAAGTAGTACAGCTGGAATTCAAATTCAAGCAGGCTGGTTCCAGAATTTGACCTTACGTACTGGCCTATACCACTTCTCATTATGGTAAATGGCTAAATTAAGAAGGGAAGTGGAGAGGAAAATTAGCAAGTGACATCTGTTTGGACTAAGCTGAAGCAGGTCAGGGCCCTGCTTCCCTGCATGTCCCCTAAGGTCAGCTGGAGACCCCACCAGGTAAGAACCAGATGT